TCAAAACCATTTCCCAGTTTAGTAATTCTTTTTAGCACTCATAACCATACATTATTCTCACTTTTAATTGTCTTAGAATTGTTTCCTAATGTTTCATGAGAGTCTGGCTTTCTCAAATGTATCGTAGGGACTTCTAGGGCAATAATTATATCTTATATGTTACTATTTTCAATCGGACTAACACAGCATTGTCTACAGGGTATGTGCTCAAAAAATATTTAATGAATGAAAAAATACATTTCTTGGATCGTGCACCATTCTATGAACCACTTCCTCCTGATTGTTTAATTGGGTCTTTTTTAAAAACTTTTTTTTAACTTAATGCCTTGACTAAAACCTATCTGTCTTATTTTCTCTTGCTAGGACCATCAATTATTCCTAAATCATGAGTTAATATGTTAATGAGAAAATGTTAATGAGTTCATTTGCAGTCTCCTTTGGTGAACATACATCTAGAGAAAGTGAAACAAAGGAATAATCTGAGTCATTCCTTGGTTTACTCAGCCCTACAGATTTCTACCTCCATTCATTCATTCAGCTCTGTCCTAGGAAATAATTTTGATGGTGATCCAGAAGGCACATTTATCATTTTTGTGGATAACTTGAAGTAGGAGATATAGAAAATCCACTGAACAGCAGAATCAGAGACCAAAAAGATTTCAACAGGCCAAACAGACAGACAAACTCAAATGAGAAGTGCAATAAAAGAGTGCAGAAGGTTCTGTGACATGAGTCATCAAAAGCTGTGGCTGGGCAAGTAAAGCCAGACACCAGCCCCTGTGAGCAAGCCTCAGGGTTTTTAACCAACAGCAGGTTCCCTAAGAGTCCAAGGTATGAAGCTGCCAACAGAAATGCTCTTGCGATCTCAGGTTGCAGTAACAGAAGTAAAGTATCTCTGTCACAGCCCCTGGGAGTAGAAGGAGGAGCAGGGCAAACTAGGAGTCCAGAGCTGGGATATGCAGCCTCAAAAATCAGCCAGAACCCCTAGTAAATCAAAAGGAGATCATATAAACGGCAGCTGCACCAACCTATCCAAGGGAGAAAGGAGTCAGCGACAGACTAAAGCATGTTCAGCAAGAACGGGAGGAGCGAGGATGTGCATGGCCTGTGGCCCCTGCGTGCTCTGTGGCACCGGCCTGTCCTTCCCCCTCGCTGCTCTTCCCATCTGAACTGTTTGCCTTTCTCGCTCACCTCTGGGCCTTCCCACAGGCTTTTCTCTCTGCCTGGAAGACAAACTGTCTCTAGCAGGAGTGAAATAATAGTTGTGCTGCATTTTCAATCCTGAGTATCTCACCTGCAGGGACTCTGATAAACTGGAACCTTCTAAGGGGAGTTATGGAAGGAATTTCTAGAGCATGTCATTTGAAGAATTACCCAGGGCATAGGAGATGTTTTCAGTGTTCAATAAATTTTCACATGGAGATACTGGAGCATGTAAGATGTTATAAAGGAAATCCATGAATTGGCTTGGTAGATGGGTTGAATGGCTTTTAAAATCAGTTTTAAAGGTTTTAAGTTCTTGAAAATGGGGGAATTTTCAGGCACAGTAGTAGGTCGCCACAGCAAGACTTTTCAGCCAACGGACTTATCAACATCTGACAACTAAAACATAAATGTCCCTGCCTGGTGAACTCAGCAGAACTTTCTCTAAGAGATTTGAGAGCGTGTGCTTCTTACACCAAGGAGCCTAAACTGTCCAGAGAATATGCAGTATGAGGGTGTTTTTCATATAACACAAAAGAGTTTTGTAAGATCGTTTTGTTCTTGTAACCAAACATATATTTGAGCTCCACAATTGGAGTATACTCCAAAGAGTATACTTTTTCTTTTGTATCAAGCTACCTGACCCATGGGGGAAGAAATTCCTGATAGCCTCAGAGACTGCCAGCTCAGTAGCTCCAAGTTTGGTCCTTTGTAGGAAGATGAGGCCCTGGGTTCCCTCCTGTCTCTCACACTGAGGTTCCAACACTCTTGTTTGGTCCTGAATATTAAAGCGGAGGGCGTTACCAACAGTGTGCTTCGGGACACGGGTGAGAAAGAAATCTCAAGAGAATGTTTGTAGCTGATAACAAGAGAGAGTGTCTGGTTTTGCTAACCAAACAGATGAAATGTTCTTTTGTATGTGAGCAGGAAGCAAGCAGATAGTCTACTTCAATAGCTTTTTATACCTACCAGGCATGTTGAATTTGATCTTTTCCATCATATTATCTATAAAACCTCTTTCATTAGTGATTTAGTAAGAAGAGTGCTGTAGCCCATTCTCATTCAAAGGTATTATCTCTTTCAGGCAGAGGGTTGAGAGTTATACCTTTATCTCCCATATCTAAGCTAAAATGAAATGAGCAAGCCCTTGTGACAATCTGTAGTATTTTTGAGTTCTTTGTGAGAAGGCTAATGCAACTAACAAAAGAAGTAGTAGTAAAGAAATTGCTAACTATGATTAAAAGCTTGCAACTTTCCAAAACAATAATTGGGGAATTTGTGGAGGACCACCCTTACTGCAGCATCGTTTTCATATAAATCTAAGTCAGATTCAACCATGACTCTGTTAAACTTAAATAATTGAGCAATATATTAGTATTGTTGATTAGCGTCTTAGATTGTAAAGGGTGATTCAGCTGTCTGTCAAATACCTGTTCTGGCTTCACAGACTATGTAGATTCATTTCTGGCAGCAGGTTTGGGAAGCGTTGTCTCTCTGTGTTTAAAAAATCAAAACAGCATTTGAAAAAACATATGAAATTAAACTTTTGTACGTTGTACTATGGTCCACTTTCCCCCAGAGTCAGCCAAGTGTCTCTCCTGAGAAGCACTCAAGTGTTCCCTGCAGAGGGTTGCACCTGTTCTCTGCGCCCCGGTGATGTGTGATCCCGGTACTGCACTGCCACGGCCTCTTTATGCGTCAGCCTCCTCACCAGGCTCTAAGCCCCTTAGAAGGGCTGGGAGTGCTTTTGCCCTAACACGCTGCCTGGCCCCTGTTGGGTGCTGCGGAAGGGCAATGCTGACAGCTTGACAAGCACCAGAGGTGCGGCAGAGGGACGCTTCGGCTCTGCGAGTGTTCCCAGACTGTGTCCTGAGCTGAGGACCAGTTGGGAAAAGGATCAGCTGTTAGCTTTCCAGCTGTTTCGCGAGATGATTTTGTGATTTTGGAGGTGTAAGGCAGAGAAAAGAAGCCTGGGAGAGTGGCGAGGAGCCCTGGAAAGCCAGGGCTGGCGAAGGCGCAGGCGAGCGACGACCCCACGCTGAGCTTCCCTGCTTCGGAACCCCGAGGGACCCAGGGATCGCGGCTCAGTTGCCGCCGCTCCAGGTGCCCGGACGCGCGTTCCGTGTGTGGGGCGGCCAGCGACCGGGGCCTCTTTGCTGCGTGCTCAGAGATGTGGCAACTTCGGGTTGCCCAACCTTCCCAGGCGGGGAGGTAGTCCAGTCCTTCAGGAAGAGTCGCTGGCCCCGTTTAGGAGCCACCACAGTCCCTTTTATCATCACCGTCTGGCAGGTTCCAGTAGAACTATTTTTCAGACCTGCGATATTTACAGTGACAAGACTGAGCTGCTCCGTGGTGCCCAGGACGATTTCAGCCTTTGAGGTAATGGAGACATAATTGAGGAGCAACGTGGAATTAGTGTCATCGCAAATGATTTAGTGCCTCAAGTTAATTTCACCGGGTTTTGCTGGAAGAGCATCAGAGTCTCTCATCTCGCGTAGCAAGCTGCCAACAGAAAGATTTCTTTTGCGAGTATTGAGGAATTAAAGTTCAAGTGCACGGCCCTTACACGTTGCAGGAGCAGTTTCACGCCTCAGCTTTTAAAAGGTATCGTGATGTTATTCCTTGTTTTGCTTCTAGGAAGCAGAGGGTTGAGGAAATGACTTGGGCGGGTGCATCCATGCGTCCGAAAAAGACAGACGCGCTCCCCTGGGACCTGAGCCGGTTCGCAGTCTCCCCGAAGGTGCCAGGCAAGCGTCCCCTCGTGTCCCCTTGGGCGCTCCTGGTCCAGTGCCTCGTGCGGAGGGTCTCTGGCGCCTTCCTAGACGTTTCGGCACAGACTTGCGGGGTCACGGGCGGCGGGACAGCGCAGAAAGAGCCAACAATGGGAGAGAGCCCGACTGCGCTTCACTCTTCCCTGACAAGGACATCGTCGCGGAGGCGCAGCCAGCTTCCCTTGGCCCGGACTTTCCGCTCCAGGGGCCAGGGGCTGGAGCTCTAGCCCTGTGCCCTCCCCAGTTGCGGGCGGCCCCCAGAGGAGTAAGCCGGGTGGAGGGAGCCTGCAAGGATTTCCTGAGCGCGACGGGAGGAGGGGCGGGGGCAGGAGTGCACGGAGCAAGGCCCCTGAACCTGCCGGGCCGCGCGCCCGGGCCCGCGTCGCCAGCGCCTCCCCACGCGCGCTCGGCCCGGGCCGCCCACCCTCGGCAGCCCCCGCCCCTCT